TGCACCTGTTTTGCAAGCATCAGTATATACTGAGGTGACAGGATTAGTGTTTAGTAAGAGGGATTTCCCATTAAAAGTGGACATAAAATTGTACCACCAATGGATATCATGCAAGATATCACCGCATAAGCGCATTTTGTGCCAGTTATGCTTAAGCTTCATAATGCCATCAATGATTCTCCGAAGAAAAACTCTTCCGCCGTGAACCACTGAAGAAGCCCAATTTAGTTTTCCCGCAAGGGACTGCAATTGTTTCTTTAAAACATGCTTGCGCTGCTTAAAATCTGCTAATTCTGCCCTTACCTGCTCTAGTTTTGTCAAAGGTAATCTTAATTCCAATGTTGTGGAGTCTATCTCCACACCTAAAAATACTAATTTCTGGCAAGGGTCAAAGACCTTGGACCAACTTATTGCAAAGCCAAACTTGTGCAGCAAGTCAATCAAGACTCTTAGGCCATGTGCACAACGCTGTTTAGTGCGTTCGCAGATGAAGAAATCATCTAAATATGCAATAATGGTAAAGCCTCTGCATGACATTATGCGGCGAATAGCCTGTGAAATTCTGTGAAAAATACCAGGTGCTAATTTTGAGCCAAAGGGCAATTTTTTATCAATAGAGGTATGGGTTTGACTGTCAGGGAAAGTCCATTGTAAACCTGTTACCTGTTGACTACACCGACTGATGCCAATAGATCTGTAAGCAGATTTCAAATTGACTTTAGCCATGAAACAATTTTTTGTGACTAATTTTGCTGCATCATCAACAGATTGAAACTTTTGTTTTTCCATATCCCCAGCAAAATCATTAACAGCTGACCCAAGTGTGTGTGTGGTCTGCTACAATCATGGATTATTCTTACACCTCCATCAGGTTTTGGAATGACACCTAATGGACTGATAATTTTGGGTGTAGATTTAGTAAACTCATAATTCCCATTTTCAATTTCAGTTAAAATCTGTTGATGAGCTTTTTCATATAACGGACTTGAGGGAAGAGCTAAAGGGTGATTTTTTGCTGATATGTTTATTAAAGCCAAATCATTTTGAACAATGTCAAAGCCATTTTTTATACCATGTAAAAGAAAATCCTTATCAAAATCAGTTTTTAATTCTTCTTGCCAAACATTAAAATCTAGGTCACGCACAGGCTTTACCTTTATACCCGGTTTTTTGGATGGGCAAAGGATTGATGATGGGTCCCACACCCCTGGATGGAACAAATATGCGCAAAACGACAGCTTTGTAATGCGCAACCTTTCCTACTGTTATACTTTCTGCAGATTTCTATACCTTCTGCAGAGTGTGAGGTATACTTTACATTGTCCTGCTGTTTACTTGCAAACTTTGCTGGACCAGATGCCTGAGGTTTAGTGTACATGGCTTTTGGCCGAAGGTACACAGACTGCAAATGAGGAATGTCAGTGCCCCACCTAAAATTGTGTTGTTTTTGGAGTCTACGGTATTCCCTATCAAAAAACAGCACTGACACAAATTCACAAGATGACACCAAGTGGTAAAATCTCATGGTATATGACAAATAATAGAGCACCTGTGTCTGTGTCAGTTCACCTGTGCTTAGCAATTTGTACATGATGGACAAATTTGCCCTAGACCACTGAGACAGGGATTCAAGTTTCGGTCTTAAAGGTCCTGATTTAAACACAAGTTGCCCCCCTGATGAATCCGAAATTAGGCGTTCCTCAGGCATACTGGTCCCCACTATATCATATGAAACAAAATCCGAAATATCATAAAAATTAATTTTACAGTCTATATTTGATGATTTCAAATAAATTTGAGGATCCTGCCAAGATATGCTAGAGTTTATACCTAAATTGTTCATTGAATTGTCACTTGGGTTCACTGCAACAGGTGAAAGTTCTTGTTGCTTTTGCTTAGCTAACTGCTTTAGCACCGCCTGTATGTAGTAATCCTCGGGTGAGCCGGCATCTTTGTTAGTTCCATGGGAGCCGCCATCTTTGTTCGGTCCCCAGAAGCCGCCATCTTTGTTTGTTCCACTGGATCCGCCATCTTTGTTTCCTCTGGAAGCATTACCAAATTCGCCATCTTGAAATTCTACGTCACCACGTTGTGTGCATGCTCTTGATGTAGACCGTCTCCGCGAACTCGCCATTAATTTCGTGTGGAAAAGTATTTTTCACTGCCTTTAACAAGAGCTTCTTTTGTCAAATTGGAATATTAATCTCTTTTAAATCGTCAGCTTCGATTAAAGATAACGCTTCCATGCTGTTAAAACCAAGCTCCAAAATAGCATCGGCTGTAGCTTCAGTCAGCTTCATGACATTGGCCCACGCCCTCACTTTTATCAGACGACTGTCTTTCAGCTGTAGTCATGAACGTAACGTCTTCGTTGTCGGAAATTTTTAATGTGCTGTTGAATGTTATTAATTAAAAATACAGTTGATTGCAAAAAGTTAATCGCGTCTCACTGACGCATTGGTAGCACAAACGCACATCTTTGTGATGTAACCACAGAAGAAACAGCCATTGCATGAAGCTGCACAGTCCAGCCTAATACTCCAATAAACAAATCGTCAACTTCCTTCAGACTGTTGGAAATATCTTGCAAAAGTACGAATGTCACTTTCTGTTAACAAATACCAATCGGGAATATTCAATAAGGTTCTAGTTCGTTTGTCTGCACGTTCATATATCTCTGGGTTCATTTTCACTTCGAAAATACTAATCCATATTATGTTATAATAAATATATACGATCCTGGTAAAAAACGGCATGTTAAGAAATTATTTTCCCGAAAAATATAAAATGACTGCTACAAGCAAGCGCTGCTTTAAGAATAATTAAGATTGCGTGTTTAAAACAAAAGCCCTGCTAATTAAGTGCTGATTGGTTAATTCAAAATTAAAGAGCAATCTCATTGGTTAATTAGTATGATCTCGCAAAACAATTAGTAAACGAGAAGCACATGCAGAAGTGACTGGGAAACCCCCTTGCTGATTGGATAATAATCTTAACACGTCAGGGCCCCTGCATAACTTATGTACAGCATTCCAAAACGTATTGTGTCTTAATAATCTATTTATATAAAATAGTTCCATTTGTAATGAACTTTTGAGTTGTATTTCTCTATGTATTTCGGAACTGCAAAAATCCTGATCACTTTGGACAAATAATCACTTGCATGAAGGTTTTTATTCCACCTAAGAAGAAAAGCATGGTTTAATTAAAGGGCTGGTTGACAAATTCATGATAGGGATATGAAATAGAGAACAATGGCCTGAATGAATAAAATAAAATAACATTCTTTTTAAAAGATTGTAATAAATTGATAGTATATGAATAAAGGAACTTAAAAATCAGAACAAATGAAAGGTCTGTGTCCTTGTTTTTGAGATGTAATCAATTGAAAATTTTGAGGGAAATGATTTTCTCTAGATTTTTTTCATACATTAAACATTAACATCTTTTTTCTTTCAGAACCTATGAAAAAATAACAAGGATTTTATAAGATTTTCAAAAAATGGCTTTTTAAACTGTATGTATGTTAGCAGGAAAAATTTTATTGGCTTTACATTAGGGCTTCCAAAAAATATTTGTGCCAGCTGGACATTTTTAGTCTTATCCCGATTTTGATCCCTTAAGACTACTTAACAAAAGGCAGTCATGCTTATCAGTTGGGCATCATTTAAACAATGAATGATTGACATAGAAACAATATTAAACTTGACTTTTGATACAAATTCGATGTACTGACGTAAACTGTTAAATTGACAAAGCATCATTCGAAGTGTGCAACATATGCGTACTAATATCTGTCTTAGAATCTTTATTTGTGCAAAATTACGTTGTCAAAATCTTTACTTTTGTTTTTGAAGGTACATTTTCTTATACCGGATGTTGACTTGACAATGGTAAAGCACATCCCAGAGTCAGATACGAAAAATCCGTGTACGTTTACAAAGCACAATTGAGTTTATGTAGCTCTTTCCAATGTTATATCTTCAAGAAAATACTTGAAATGAACGTTAGATAAGGTATCAGATAATTTTAGCATTTTTAAAGAATTCGGATGCATCATTAAATCTCACAACTGCGCACATGCGCACGTGTGTACTTTGTTCAAACAACGTGGTCCTGACGATTTTTCGCTTAAAACCTTTACAACTACCCTATGAAAATTTTCATCAAATCACATATTTATATAAATATTTTTGATAATTTAAATCTTTTTGATTAAATTGATTAGATGCAAACCGCTGAAATTTATGAAAATAACTTCAAATAGACCGATCAATGTCCGGTACATATTAGTTTACCTGTCACCTGAACAGGTAAATTTCAACTGTCTGACAACTAATTAACCTTGATTGCAATGAGAGGGTATTAAAGTAGGGTTTGTTTTGATAGTACTTATTCACCAAGTCACTTTTATGAACGGAAATGTGGCTGTTTAAGGCAAAAGGTCAGGTCAAAAAGATCGCAAAAACTTCATTTTTTTCTGAATTCAATATGTTAAAATGGCAAACCCATGTTAAATGTCTGTTTCAGGTTTGGCACAACAAGTCATATTTATAATTTATCGGTCATGTCTGGAAAATACGACCGTATTGGAAGCCTTGCTTTACATAGATAAAACTAAAGGATTCCGAATATCTGACATAATGTTCAAAAGAAGAGTAGCAAACATCCTTAATGTCAATCTTTGTCCATATTTATTATTTAAAAGTCAACAATCAATTATTACTACACAAGAAAAGATTTTGCTGGTATTTTAGCAACTTGTACTATCTTTTCTACATTATGAAATAAGGACAAGAATCATGCAAATAAAAGAAAAAAAAAGGCTTACTAGGTTATCATCAGTATACCAAAAGAAGAGACATGACACTATAGTAAAAAACAGTGCACTCAGAAATGCTGCCAAAAATTGTAACCCTTAAATATCTGGTTGCACACTAAAACCCCCATAGGGATTTTCAAAAGTTGGCATCTGCATGTCTCTTTTTATCTTTTTTAAGGTGGAAGATGTAAAGATCCCGGCACACCTGGTGGTGCCATGCAAGTTGTTACCAGTTATGAAGTCGGTGAAATGGTATACTTTAAATGCAAGAAACCTGGATATTTACCTGAGCCTCCACAGCCTTTGGAGTGTGTAGTAGATATTAGTACAGGGAATATAACATGGAACGCCACTAATTTAGATGATGGTTCAGCAGATTTGCCTGAATGTCTGGGTAAGTAAGAACTTTACTTTACCAGATAGTTCAATAGAATTGCCTCAAAATGCATAGATACCATCCATTAGATTCTCAATAAGTATGTTACATTATGTATGCTATTTATAGACAGGTGTCCTATATATTGATGGAACCACATTATCTGAAATACATGTAATTATGTACTCTGCAATGTATTCATAATATCCATGTGTTTTTGTGTTTGTTGAATTATTATAAAAATGCTTAAAAAAAATCCCATAAAAAGCAAAAAATCTTTACCGTATATTCATCAATGGCCCCATTTAATTCAACTGAAATTTATGTCCTTTTAAAAGAATTGTATCAGAGTTGAAGTGATGTATAGGAGCGTTTTATGTGGTAACCTCAATTTTACAAAGCTTGGACGATTATATTTTTGTAAATATATTTGATTTGCTCAATAAGTGTGCTACATTATGAACAGGTATCTTATCAATCAAGTGAAGGTGATAAAGGGCTTATTTATTGCATAACTATTGATACCAATATCACTATCCCTGTCGTGTCCTGTCTGCATCAAGATCTTCATTGGGTTCTGATCTGATGAAAACATGGCTGACGGAGCAGGTGTCCCGAAATTTCTTCCCTCAATTTGGATAATATTTTTTAGGACTTATTACATGTATTAGTCGAAATCAAATTAATACTAGATCTCTAGAATAAACAATTCTTTGTTATCAAGTATGCAGTATGAACTGCATAAAAATTTGTACCTGTTTTTGTAAAAGCGTTTACGAATAATATATGGAATGCAACAATTTAAAACTGTGATGATGTTAAGGACTTGAAACTGCAAATTCCTTGGGAATTGATCATGGTACCTTCATTTTTTGACAAACCGGAAGTTTGCACCTAAGACTTTTGGCTTCACTTGGATAAACTCATAAAACCAATAATCAGATAATGAATTGTGAACAAATTCATGACATACTTTAATTTCATGAAATCTTCTTAATGTATGATTTCACCCTTGAGATTTTGTGTAATGTGTGTCCAAAATTAAGGAAACCCATGTTTTGACAGGTCTTCAAATGTCCGGTGATTTCTCACATGCCTTTTAAAAATAGTTAATTTAGAATTTGGAAAGATTTTATACTACGAAATACAGTACAGTTTGAACCAAACAGACTGCCAAGGAAGCGCAGCAAATGTTTTTTTTCAGTTTGATAAAATTTGCTGTAGAATGAAAACATTTTATTCTAATAATGTCATAATTTTTATTGTGGAAAATGGTTAGATATACTAATCATGGGATTGCAATTATAAATTTATGCTTGAACTTATAAATTTTAATCTTTACTGTCCCTTCGGAAGACAAAATCAATTACAAGAAGGATTCTATTTATGCAACATTTTGAATATGACTAAATCAGGTAATGCGCAATATCACTAGCCGCACGGACACGTGATTCCACTGTTAATTTGTTTGTATTGAGTAACTGAAGGAAATGTATTATACATTAACAGGACATGCAGGCTTTTTTACTGAAAACATATTTGTCCGTATATATATATCATGCACCTATTGGATGATTAAACTTTTCATTACACTTTTTGAACCACTGCAGATCAGAGCTTTTAGATATTTTAGATATTTCAGAAAATCTTTCTGTTTTCTAGATAAATAAATGTGTTTGTGTTGTGATGCACATACATCAATCAATAGGAGTTGGAAGTGTATTTTGGCAGTCAAGTTTTAAAAAATTGTTTTTTGGGGAAAATTTTGTATTCTGAAAATATGAAGAAAAGAATATCAAACTTTTTTTTCCTTAACATATTTTTTGCATCTATGTTAAGTATGTATTGTGCCTAAATGGTCTCAATAAGGATCTGACTTGTTTGATTTTTATTTAATTTGGCTGAAAATAATTATTGCTTTATACCTTATGAAAATAAATACTGCTTGTATTGAAAGATCATCATTTAATTTTTTGTTCTAGATAAAACACCCCCAGTTTTCTCCAACTGTCCTTCCGACCCTATTTATGTTGACAAAACAGAAGAATACACATACCCAGATCTAAATGCTACAGATAATTCTGGTGCTGTTAAGAAAATAAGCAATCCTGGTGGGTACAGGCCAAGTGGACTCCGAACTAACTCAGATATAGACATAACCTACACTGCAGAGGATTTTAGTGGGAATACTGCAGACTGTGTTATTAAAATTATAGTTAAAGGTAAGAAAAATAAAGGTAATTTGTTTCTGCAATTGTCTGAAAGAACTTGTAGCAAAAGGGACAGACAGAAATAAAAAAAAAACATTTATTTTGAAAAAACAGATCGAAGAATTTTGATTGTGCTTTTTTTATATCTAAAAGTTTAATACAAGGAAATAATGACAATTTAATTTATAAACTGAACAACCACTATTGTCACTGTGACCTTTATTAGACGGGAATACACACCCTGTGTTTCCAATGAAATAAGCTGGCAAAATAATTTCATTTATTATACAAAAGAAAAAACTGTGCATTGACACTGACAGTGATTTTCCTACCTTTTTAGCTCACCTGACCCGAAAGGCCAAGTGAGCTTTTCTCATCACTTGGCGTCCGTCGTCCTGCGTCCGTCGTCCGTCGTCCGTAAACTTTTACAAAAATCTTCTCCTCTGAAACTACTGGGCCAAATTTGACCAAACTTGGCCACAATCATCATTGGGGTATCTAGTTTAAAAAATGTGTCCGGTGACCCGGCCAACCAACCAAGATGGCCGCAATGGCTAAAAATAGAACATAGGGGTAAAATGTAGATTTTGGCTTATATCTCTGAAACCAAAGCATTTAGAGCAAATCTGACATGGGGTAAAACTGTTTATTAGGTCAAGATCTATCTGCCCTGAAATTTTCAGACGAATCGGACAACCTGTTTTTGGGTTGCTGCCCCTGAATTGGTAATTTTAAGGAAATTTGGCCGTTTTTGGTTATCATCTTGAATATTATTATAGGTAGAGATAAACTGTAAACAGCAATAATGTTCAGCAAAGTAAGATCTACAAATAATGTCCGATGACCCCGCCTTCCAACCATCATGGCCGACTTGGTTAAAAATAGAACATAGGGGTAAAATGCAGTTTTTGGTTTATATCTCTGAAACTAAAGCATTTAGAGCAAATCTGACAGTTGGCAAAAATGTTCATCAGATTTAGATTTATCTGCCATGAAATTTTCAGACGAATCCGACAACCCGTTGTTTGGTTGCTGCCCCTGAGTTAGTAATTTTACAAAAATTTTGCAGTTTTTTGTTATTATCTTAGATATCATATTAATATTTAATATCTAATACTATTAATTATGATTTTAACCTTGTTTTACATGATTTCTAAAGCATCAGTAAATAGAGGTGAGCGACACAGGCTCTTGAGAGCCTCTAGTTTCAAATGGGGCCCTAGGAAAAATGTGTCATTTAACCTGTAATTGGGAAGAATTAAATCATAGTTTTCATCATATTTTATCTTAATGAGGTTATTTATTAGAATTCCAATTTTTGTTCAAATTAGAACATATCAATTTTTTTTCTTGATGCATGTTAATATATATTCAAGGTTTGACAATTACTAAATTGCTTAATAAGCTCAGAGGGCTAGTTAAATTCTGTTTTTACAAGTCTTCCCTTGACTGCTAGCCCTCCAAGTGCTGAAGCACTTGATATATTGTGTCAAAGACAGGACCCATGCAAGTGGGTCTGATGGCATTATTTTAAATAAATGAAGCTAAATCATGTGTTCTGGGTCATTTCCAAAGCGCCTTGAGCATGTTTTGCATGATTAATGTTTCATGAGATTGCACTGGTTTGCAAAGAAAAGTAAAGAAAAAACTTTATTTTATATTTTAAAATCATCTCCATTAAGAGTGTATACAGTGATCTATAGAGATTAAATCGCTATGGGCCCATGACCCCACTCATATAAATTTTAATGGACCATTTTGAACATGAATGGGCCATGAGATGAAATGAATGGGGCATTATAGTTTATAGCATAAGTAAAAAGTATATACTAAATTGGACGGTACTAGATGATACTGTTAAAGATTCGTTTCTCTTCCCATGAATTCCTTGTGTAAGTGAACTGAAGTTTCATGCACATCCCTGGCTTGATGGCCTGATTTATTGATATCATCACAACCAACAGAAGAAAGTAACGTATTGACCAGCAAAATCAGAAGTTTGCCGCACTCTTTGGCATGTTTACAAATTTTGTAAATAAACCCAAGACCAAAAATTAACAAAGACAGAAAAGCACATTTCATGGAGACAAAATCAAAATTATATCATTTTCCCTGTTTTCAGATAAACCATTCGTTGTAGATCTAAGCTAAACTGGTTTCCGATATATGATCGTTATCTGTCTATATTTTTCTTTGGGAATAGTACAACAACCTACATTTTGAACCAAAATTGTACAAACGATAAAATTATCAATTACCTTTCCTCTACAGTTGATGAATTGGGAATTTTACAGGCTAATTTGGGAAAATTTCAGGTTTTTTCTAATTGGGAATAGGGCCGATATTCAGATCCAAAATAAAGGCAGGAAATTCACTGAAAATAATTTCATGATCTTTTGCCATCAATTGAGTATACTATATACCATTATAGGGGAAATCTTAAATACTGATTAGGTGTGTATTACAAACATGTACAGTATGTTGACTTGTTTTATTTTTTTTACCACAATTTTACATGCAGATTTTTTCAATATGAAAGTTTTTAACAGACAAGGGATATGCATCGAACATTGGCTATTTTACATGTAATGATTGTTTACTTGCTTACTTAATCCACTTTGTGACTGTACAATGCCATTATTCTATTATTGTTTGCCCCATTTGATTTCTGTAAACAACTAGGTCATTGCTAGTAGAACAAGTCTTTCTTGCTAGCAGGGTAATTTGATCTGACTACACCATACTGGATTGGGTTTGTGGTTGGTTAATTTGAGGTGTATAATGATTTATGTAATGTTATATAATCCAGCTTGTTAAATATGTGTGAATAATATTTGTCGTGTAATGTTTACATGTACAACTGGGTGTTCCTAACCTATAGGATAACGTCCTATCAAATCTAGATATAATGGTTACAGGTTTAACTCCGCCTATTTGTATTGTTTGCAGATATCAATCTTAATTACAATGCTTGAGCAAACTTTTATACAATTAAAGCAAGCAAGCCAACCGTTGTCTTAACTCTACAAGCATTATGAAATTAGCTCTAAGTGGTTTATTGATTTGGGGTTGTATGGCGGTTGATCATGAGTGATATTGATGATTTTCACTTTTTCAGTTCAGGAATTATGGTCCTTGAGTCATTGTAGATTGGAAAATGGTACTTTATGTTGTTTCCTTCAAATAATTTATGAACCCGCTTTTCAAATTTCAATATGTTGTAACTGATGACAAAATTGGGGTCAATTACGATATTGTTGATTTTCATTTTCTCTGTTCAGGAGTTATGGTCATTGATTGATTGGAAATTTGCATTTGATGTTGTTTCCATACAATAACTTAGGAAAAGTAAGGTGGAAGATACCAAATGGACATTCAATCCCATATTGAAAAACAAACTGACAAGGCCATGGTTTAAAACTAAAAACTACAAAAAGATAAACAACAATACTCAAAACACAACACAGAAAACTAATGAATGAACAACACAGAACTGTTAAACAAGTGCTTTTCCAATTCCAATGTATTGTTGCTGATAACAAAATGGAGGTCAAGTTTGATTTTCACTATTGCTGTTCAGACTTAATACTCCTGCATTGATTGTAAAATGGCACTTTATGTTGTTTCTATGCAACAATGGCTACCTTCACATTACAGAAAACTTGGTTTTCTTTCAATTGTACAGCTCATTTCTTGTTTAGTCATCATAGTATTTCATCAATAGGTAATAAGCAACATAATATTCATTTTCTGGTTTACCTAACTTAAATGCACACCTATCTTCATTGTTCTTTTTTCTCAAGTCTTTAATGTTGATTAATTTATTTTCATGATATTTTATTTTAAGTTTAAAAGATCCTGCCTAAAGCACTTTTTATTTTCTAGAACTCCACATATATGTTCAACTATGCTTAGGAAAATTATGAATGATTATAAATCATCTATCTGACTTTATGTCTTCAAGTGCTAGCAATTAATTTATCATGGAATTTATTTCTACCAAATGCCATCATGATAGAAGAATTGTAAAGTCATAAAAGTGTGATTGAAAGACATACAAAATAACAGGACCCCTCAGCTTGATTTTTAGAGTGTAGGGATATAAGTATAACATGAAACTGAATAGACAAAGAAACAAGATAAAACAGTTCTGTTATTAATGATTCACAACTTGAAATGCTTCCTGGAATTATTTCATCCCATATCCTTTCGTAACATTGCACTTGGCATTTTGCATTAAATCATTAGAGAAACAGATTCTACATCTATAACCTGTTGAATACTCACTCTAGATAGATAAATATTATAGTCAACAAGGTGTTGAGGTTGAGTATGTAAGAACTTGTAGACAAAGATAATTTTTGATATTACAGATTATGCAGGGCACCAATTGACATGTCCACAGAATATAACCATACACATAGATACAGCAGCTGGAGAAGTCTTCAATGTTAGTGATGTTGTGTCAGCTACAACTTCAGATTCTGATTTAACCTTTACATTTAGTCCTGCAGAATTAATTACCTTGGATCATACAGCAGTGGTAGCACAGAAGAAAGTAGTTGTCACTGCAACTGATAAGTGGGGTGCTGAGGACCAATGTTCATTTTTGGTAGAAACTAAAGGTAAAATGTAGTTTAAAGAAACTGTCTGCACCAATCAAAGGAAATAGTTCATTAGTTATTATACCCAATACAAAAAAGATGTGAAATATTGCTATTTTATTCTTGTCACCATGACAAGGATTTCATTTCTTATTAAATTCTCTTCAAATTTGTATGGATCAGTTCCATAATTTATAATCTGAAAGAGAAAATTTTTTTTCAAGGGGGGTTAGGAGGGGAGGGGGGGGTTGTAAATATATTTCTTTTTTATTCTGGTGTCAGAGATTGTGTCTACATTTTATACAAGATACTCTTTTTTAAGATAAGGTTTCCATTCAACAAAAATTATATAATGGGTAAGTTCGAATATTAGAAAAAATTGAAATGGGTGAAATATTTTTTTTTTTATAAGGATGACATGTACAGTAATACTTTTCCATATTTATTCTTGCCAATGTGTATTGCCTTCATTTTTATACGCCTGTTTATGGGACGTATTATGGTATACCGTTTACCGTCTGTCTGTCCGTCCGTCGTCAACATGTCAGACATTTACTCAAAAACGCTTTAACCAATTTGCATGAAACTTTGGTGAATTGTTTTTTATAAATTTAAAATTTTACGTTTCCTAGTTTTGGGGTTTTATTCATTAAAAAAAGGGGGATTTTCAAGTTTTCGGACAATAACTCAAAAACACTATCACCAATTTGCAAGAAACTTTGGTGAATTGTTTATATCTATTGACATGACCTCCCTTTCCATTTTTATAAATTTTAGATTTTACGTTTCCAAGTTATGGGGTTTTATTCATTACAAAAAGGGGGATTTTCCAGTTTTCGGAAAACAATATATACGTCAGATAATGCATATTTTAAAGGATTTTCTTGACTGTCATATAATACACCTCGTGTTGTCATGATTGGTCCTATGACAGACCGACCATAACCCTACTTGGGGTATACGACAAAAAAACCCTTAGAAATGGCTGATATTTTTATACGCTGTTTACGGGACATATTATGGTATACCTCAGTCCGACTGTCCGTCCGTCGTAAACATGTGGCATTAACTCAAAAACACTTAAACCAATTTGCATAAAACTTTGGTGAATTGTTTATATCTATTAATGTGAGCTCCCTTTCGTTTTTTATAAATTTTAGATTTTACGTTTCAGAGTTATGGGGTTTTATTCATTAAAAAAGGGGGATTTTCCAGTTTTCAGACAATAACTCAAGAATGCTTTCACCAACTTGCAAGAAATTGTGGTGAATTGTTTATATCTATTGACATGAGCTCCCTTTTGATTTTTATATATTTCAGATTTTACGTTTCCGAGTTACAGGGTTTTATTCATAAAAAAAGGGGGATTTTCCAGTTTTCAGACAAAAATTCAAAAATGCTTTCAGCAATTCTCGTGAAACTTTGGTAAATTGTTTATATCTATTGATGTAAGCTCCGTTTAGAATTTTATAAATTTTTCATTTATCATTTCTGAGTTATGGGGTTTTATTCATTAAAAAAGGGGTGATTTTCCAGTTTTCGGACAATAACTCAAAAATGCTGTCAGCAATTCTCATGAAACTTTGGTGAATTGTTTATATCTATTGATGTAAGCTCCCTTTACATTTTCATGAATTTCTAATATGACATTGAGAATTAATACAACTTTATTTGTTTATAGTCTGACAACAGATTTACTAAGTATTGCGCAACAGCACAGTGTATTGCACAACAAAAAGAAATCTTTAATTGAATATAAATTCAATTCATATAACCCATTTCAAGTTCTTTGACTACATTTATTCAGAAACCTATAATATGTCAAATATTTAATTACAATCCAAATTCAGACCTGTATCAAGCTTGAATATTGTGTCCATTTTTGCCCCAACTGTTCAGAGTTGGACCTCTGCGGGCGTATCCAGCTTAGCAGATTGTTCAAGCATATTGTTTTTCTGAAATTGTTTAACATTTCACAGCGGTATAACATGTTACTTTAATTATTTTTCCCTTAGTTTATTTATTTTGTATTTGCATTGTATCATATATCAAATTTATTTGTTCAGTGTATGTTCACTGGTGTTAATATGTCTTTTGATTGAGTTAAGCCAATCTAATTGATATTTTATATTGTGATGTTACGCTATTGTTACAAATAAGGATGAAGGTTTGGTACCATTAAAATGTTTAAACCCACTGCAATTGTTTGCACCTGTCCTAAGTCAGGAATCTGATGTTCAGTAGTTGTCTTTTGTTGATGTGGTTCATAAGTGTTTCTCGTATCTCGTTTTTGGAAAGTTTGCTGTAGCTTGCTATAGCAAAAACTTTCCCAAGGTATCGGCCTCAAACTGGAAGTGACAGACTATCTTACTTAAGGATGTGTGTTCTACTCCTAGATAATGTAGTACTGGTTTTTGACAACTAATTCAAGGAAGATGCTTTTGAAATTTTGAGTTACTTCTATTTTGATTAGTTTACAGTTTGAATTAAAATGTACTGAATGTTCATCGATAATTCAAATGAATTCAACTTCATTTTGAAAATGGCTATCACGAATAGTACTTCGCGAATCTGCACTGCGCGGAAAGTAAAATCAATACACATCTACACGAGACAGCAGTTTCTACATTATGCTTTTATCTGTATTCCCCAGACATGCGTGAGATCCATATCAATGGGAGTAATATAATTCCGATTTAAGGGGTTTCCTCCCCTCCTCCGGTTGAAGAGAAAATAAATACCGTGTTTAAAATATTTCATGAATGAACATTTTTCGACACTTACTACGATTTTTACAATGTTTATTAAAGACGTAAAAGCCTGAGTGTATCGAAAGTATCCCAGTATCTCATCTCGGCCCACAACAAACTCGGACTATAGTAAACTCGGCCTATTACATAATCAGCATCAGAAAATCGGACTATAACAAAATTCGTAATTATACTACTTGCTATTAAGTCTCCCAAACAAAGTTTGGAGACTTATTGTTTTGCTCAGTTCTTATTTTTTTTCTTCTTGAGGTCTATTTAGGGGTATTTTGAGGGGCCAACAGAAGGGAAGGATTTACTATAGAATCCTATGGGATTTATTTTTTTTAAAATTTTCAAATGACTATAACTTGAAAACAATAAGTGATAGACACACACGGTTTTCAGTAATGATCACAGGATCATAAAACTAATCAAATGAAATATAGCAGGAGTCCCTCTGGATCAGCCCCACCCCCTCCTGTTTGATAACTTTTAAAAGGTTGAGATCCCCACCCCTAAACAATATATATTCTTGTATGGGACATTAAAACAAGTCAAATGAAATATAGGGGGAGTCCCTGGGTGTCACCTCACCCCATCCTGTTTTGAAAACTTGTAAACGGTCAAGATCCCCACCCCGAAACCATATATATTCTTGTACGGGACAATAAAACAAATCAAATGAATTAAAAGGGGAATCCCCTTGGGTCAATCCCACCCTCTTCCTGTTTAAGAACTTGTAAACGGTCGAGATTCCCACCCATAAACCATATATATTCTTGTATGGGACAATAAAACAAATCAATTGAAATATAGAGGAAGTCCACCCGACCCCCCTTCTTTTTAAAAACTTGTAAACAGTCGAGATCCCCACCCCTAAACCATATATATTCTTGTATGGGACAATAAAACAAGTCAAATGAAATATAGGGGGAGTCCCTGGGTGTCACCCCCACCCCATCCTGTTTTGAGAACTTGTAAACGGTCAAGATCCTCACCCCGAAACCATATATATTCTTGTACGGGACAATAAAACAAATCAAATGAATTAAAAGGGGAATCCCCTTGGGTCACTCCCACCCCCTTCCTGTTTAAGAACTTGTAAACAGTCGAGATCCCCACCCATAAACCATATATATTCTTGTAGGGGACAATAAAACAAATCAAATGAAATATAGAGGAAGTCCATAGGGGTCACCCCTACCCCCTTCTTTTTGAAAACTTGTAAACGGTCGAGATCCCCATCCCTAAACCATATGTATTCTTGTATAGGACAATAAAACAAGTCAAATGAAATATAGGGGGAGTCACTGGGTGTCACCCCTACCCCATCCTGTTTTGAGAACTTGTAAATGGTCAAGATTCCCACCCCAAACCATATATATTCTTGTAAGGGACAATAAAACAAATCAAATAAAATAAAAGTCGAGTCCCCTTGGGTCACTCCCACCCCCTTCCTGTTTAAGAACTTGTAAACGGTCAAGATCCCTACCCATAAACCATATATATTCTTGTATGGGACAATAAAACAAATAAAATGAAATATAGGGGGAGTCCCTGGGTGTCACCCCACCCCCATCCTCTTTTGAGAACTTTTAAACGGTCAAGATCCCCACCCCGAAACCATATATATTCTTGTATGGGACAATAAAACAAATCAAATGAAATAAAAGGGGAATCCCCTTGGATCACTCCCACCCCCTTCCTGGGAATGACTAATTATGGGAGCTTTGTTTGGGAGACTTCGTCACAGCATCATGTTACAATTATTTCATGTATTAAGTAATTTTTTTTTAAAGTCGGAAAAAAAGTTAAACACCCAATCTACACATTTACAACCTATTTGAAATATTACACATCTACCGTTGCAAACTTTCCACAGGTGCAATCCAGCACTTTGATTTATATAGTTTAGACAGTTGGTTTTCCCGTTTGAATGGTTTTACACTAGTAATTTTTGGGGCCCTTTATAGCTTGCTGTTCGGTGTGAGCCAAGGCTCCATGTTGAAGACTGTACTTTGACCTATAATGATTTACTTTTATAAATTTTGACTGTGATGGAGAGTTGTTTCATTGGCACTCATACCACATCTTCTTATATCTATTATCTCTAACATACCTAGGAGTAATGGCCCTCAAATAAAGATTTTTGACAGATTTAAATGACTGTTTGATATCTTGTCCGCAAAAATATACAGAAACTGTAATGAGCAAAAATGAGGAAAAATGACCAGCAATACCAGATCTACAAGAATGCTCACACAACTGAAACCATAAACTGATTCTTCATTTGAGATATTGTCATACCACCACTCTAAAAGTAGGGCTATATGTAGATCACTTTTCACTTTCACCAAAAACCAATAAACAGAATAATTGCATATTTGATAATTCAGCTTCATAGTGATGTGTTTTAACTTGTGAACACTTTTTCAGATCTGTCCAACACCTACTTCCTGTTTATACATACTTTATAAAAATATGGGGATGTAGTATGATTGCCAATGAGACAACTATCATCCATAGTTCAAATAAAGTGGATGAAAGCAATTATAGGCAACCTTGCAGCCTTCAACAAAGGGATAGTGATACAGCGGCGGCCACAGTGGCGTTAACATACTTCTTAAAAGCACAATATTTCAGAAAGTAGAAGACCCGGATCCTTCATACTTTGTATATAGATGCCTTATGTTATGAAGTTTCTGTCTGTCATATGTCCATTGTCCTTGACCTCATTTTCATGGTTCAGTGACTACTTGAAAAAAAGTTAAGATTTCTAGTATTCTTAATTTCTTTATTATGAGTAATAGGATAACTATATTTAGTATGTGTGTACCTTGCAAGGTCTTCATACCCGTCAGAGGGTTTTCACTTGAACTTGACCTCATTTTATGGATCAGTGAACAAGGTTAAGTTTTCGTGGTCAAGTCCATATCTCGGATACTATAAGCAATAGGTCTACTCTATTTGGTGTATTTCATTTTCAAAACTAATAATTTTACCTAATCCATATTAATATGTATTTTTATGCCCCCGCCGTAGCGTTGGGGGCATTAAGTTTTACCCTTGTCTGTCTGTACATAGGTACATACTTCCCAAAATTAGTTTCCGTTCTCTAACTTGAGTTTGCCTCAACCAAATGTTATGAAACTTATACACAATGCTTATTACCACAAAACACAGTTCAAGTTAGAATTTTGGTGGCGTCACTCTAACCGTTCTAGAGTAATGCCCATTTATAAAAATTTTCTTCTAATTATCTAGTAATTTTTATAATTGGAGTTATCTTCCTTTGTCCATGATTATAGTTGAATCAACTACAATCAATGCTTTATACAATGCAATGTTTAATTTTGACTTCCACTGATAAAACACAGATCGAGTTGAATTTGGGTAGTGTCACTTTAACCATTATTGAGTTATGCCCCTTTATAAATCGAAAGATTGCAAAATTTTTAGTTTATATTCTGTAACTTAAGTTTGCCCCAACCAAACATTATGAAACCTTTACACAATGCTTATTACTACAAAATACAGATTAAGTACGAAATTTGGTGGCGACACTTTTACCATTCTTGAGTTATGTCCCTTTATAAACATAAAAATTGCTGAATTTTCGTTTACGTTCTCTAACTTTAGTTTGTCTCAACCAAATGTTAAAAAAATTATACACAACCGTTCTAGAGTTATGCGTGTTTACAAATAGAAAAATTGCTGAATTTTTAGTTTCTGTTCTCTACTTAAGTTAGCCTCAACCAAATGTTATGAGATTTACACATAATGCTTATTACCACAAAACTCAGATCAAGTTCAAATTTGGGTAGCGTCACTTTTACCGTTCTTCAGTTATGTCCCTTTATAACTATATGATATGGAAGCGGGGGCATCATCTGTGTCCACATGTGGACACTCCATATTTATTTATTCAATATCAAATATAAACTGATAAATTAAAATATTAAAGGCTTCACTACAAATTTAAAGTTTCTTTTCACTGCTTTGCTTAAAATAAACTGGAATCTGCTTGAATTTAACGAAATGAAAAAAGTGTAGAAGTCAACCGGGAACCAGCTTACGATGTATAAACTTCAAAACGTAATCAGCTATTCATTCAGTTTTGTTGTTTCATTCTGAAACATGTGTTTTGTTAAGATCCTTCAAAAAACAATGTGATAGATATAGTAAACATCATTTTACTCAAGGATGGAACTTTTCTACTTTCAAAGTTGTATTCTAGTGATATCTACTAAGTACGGATTTTCCGCACATTCTCACCATATTTATTTTCATTTACACATGGTATTCATACAACCGGTTTAAACATGCACAAGTTCCTAAATTGTATTTTTTTGGTGGTGATTTTGACTTATTTTAACATTCTTGAAGTGTTCTCAAATCATTTACAACTCAACTACTTTTTTATATGGAATACTGGTTTTTCTATGAAAATACCACTAACGACCACACACTATTTGAACTTACCGGAGTTTCATTAGTTATTTTCTAAAAGTTTCAATAAGTTTTTTTACCTGAAATATTCGTGGGGAGAAAGGGGTGCGGACAATGTACCAGTGTGAACTATACAAGCCCGATTAAATACTGTGAAACATACAAAATTGTTATAATAATGCTAACAACCAAATATTCATATCTTACATTTTTTCCTTAGCTGATGCATGTTTTAAAGAGTCTTTCCCAGTAAGTGTACCAAATGCTGCACCTGTGACTTGTACTTCTGGCAACATCAGCTGCACAGTTACATGTATTGATGGATTTGTGTTCTTTGATGGCAACAAAACAAAGACATATGACTGCACAGGACAAAATAAATGGATGCCAGCTATACCTCCTGATACATGCATAAGTATAATAATAGTAGAAAGTTACCTCAAATACAGTTCATGTAGAAACCATTTTCATGCCCCATTTATGGGCATTATGTTTTCCAGTCTGTGCGTCCGTTCGTTGGTCCGTTTGTCAGTTCATCCTTCCGTTTGTCCGTCTGTCCCGGTTCAGGTTAAATTTTTTAGGTTTAAGTTTTTGGTCAAGGTAGTTTTTGATGAAGTTGAAGTCCAATCAACTTGAAACCTAGTACACATGTTCCCTATGATATGATCTGTCTAATTTTAATGCCAAATTATAGTTTTGATCTCAATTTCAAGGTCCACTGAACATAGAAAATGATAGTGTGAGTGGGGCATCCATGTACTATGGACACATTCTTGTTTAGCTATTGTTAAGAAAAATTTGGAAAAGAAAGAAATTTTCCACTTGTTTTTAGAATTACATGGTTTTTACAAGTCTGTTTACAGGATGTATTATGTTATTTCTTTGTCTGTCTGTCTGTCCATCTTGAAAAAAATGATTTAACCTACCTGTCTGCATGAAACTTTAGTGAATTGTTTAAGTCTATTGATGTTAGCTCCCTTTTGATTTTTATAAATTTTTAATTTATATGTTTCAGAGTTGTGGGGTTTTATTCATTAAAAAGGGGGATTTTCCAGTTTTCGGACAATAAATCAAAAATGCTTTAAGCAGTTTTCGTGAAACTTTGGTGAATTTGTAAATCTATAAATTTGTTCTTGTAAAAACTTATGTTTTTTGTTAAAAATCTCTATTTTTGAGAACCATCTTTTTGTTTTTGGAATTCAAAGAAAATTGATATATAGGTATAATTCCAGTTTCCACATGTCAAAATTGTGGTAAAAATTATTTTTTGTTAAAAATAAAAAATTATTAGAAACATCTGTTTGAGGGTTTCAGAGAAAATCAATATTGAGGTATTTTATTCTATTAATTAATGTTTGGCCACAGTTTTTGAAATTACTGCAAAAATATATAGTGTTTGGATTTTTATCAACCTATATTTTTAGAGAACATGTCCTCAAATAATTCCTGGTGTCTAAAAAAAAACTAATATCCAACCATGTATTGCTCTGTTTACATCAGTAAGGAGAATTTGTTTCTGTGTCTCAAACAAAAATAAACAGGCAGAACCCTTGCTGACATGACAGTTTTCTAGTTCCACTTCCCGTATTGGATATATACAATATTCTATCCACATGTTACTTTTAATTTATTTGAAAAATGAAAGAAATCTCAACTTGGGTTAAAGTAGTGAATATATCCTTTATAAATGAAAAAAAGAACTAAGTTACTATACCAGTAATTGACATAACATATCTATTTTTCAGAGTATGATGAACCATCCAACATCATAGTACTTCAAGTGGCCTATAAAACTACTCAAGGGTTTGCTAAAGACTGTAAATCAGGTCATGATGATAAAATCAAAACAAACAATGCATCATTAACAAATGACATTTACAACATATGCAACATTGATAACCTTGTATCTGTTGGTCCAATAGTAATTACAAATACGCTGACTACTACTACAGGATTTGATGTAAGATTTATTTGTGTACATATATAGTTCCATATATGATACCCTAATCTCTTAAATGAAGAATATAATTTGATAAACTGTATATCTGGATTAATCCAAACAAAAAATATACTATAACTGGTACAGTCAAATCATTTCGCTTTGAAATGGTTAAATATCAAGAAGATTCTCTTAAAAATACTTGTGTTTATGTAGCTGATTATAAAAATGGATAAAGGTATTGACTATTTTGAAATGTTTTTGTTGATTGTATTAACAATTGATCTGTTTCAAATTTGTGAAATAGTGTGTGCATCATTATTATGAAACATGATAAACACAGATAACTTAAATAAAACCAATTCCTTATGTAATTGTTTCAAATTCTCCCCATTTATTTCTAATAAATATTCTTAATCATTTATAATATAAAGTCTCCTTTTTTATGTAACCAGATTTTTATGCTCCCACTGCTAGGGTATGTCCCCAACACTATTCTAAGGAGAATTAAGTGTTACCCTTGACTGCCTGCCCTTCTGTTTGTACTTCCATCTGTTCCTACATCCATCCTTTCTTCCAATTATTTTCTGCACTCTGACTTAAGTCTTCCTCATCCAAATGTTATGAAACTCATACACAATGCTAAGAACCAAAACTCACAGACAGAGTTCGAATTTGAGCATTAAGTCATTGACCATTCTAGAGTTGTATACCTTTATAACTTGGAAAATTGTAAATGTTTTCATTTCTGCAATTCAACTTAGTTTGCGTCCTGCAAATTTAAAGAAACTCATACACAAAGCTCAAAACCAAAAGATGCAGACCAAGTTCAAATTTTGGCATTGAGTCACTTACTGCTAGAGTTATGCCATATGGCCCGAGAACACAATTATTTCATAGTGCATTTCTGTAAGAAGAAAAAAAAACGCTAATTAAAAAAATTGCATCTGCTTTATCCAAAAAAATTTTACAGTGTAGAACAAATTATATCAAAATTAAAAACTAAATTTTAAGTTGCGACATGTCGTAACACATAAATTTTGGTTGAAAGAGTACGCTAACATTAAATTGGAGTTTTCTCCCCCATATATTAAAATTTAGACATATTGTGATATAACTCATTAACCATATATAATTAAGACCTATAGTCTTTTGATTTGAAGCCCTTGGTTTATGACCTTGAAATTGAGCTCAAGGTCATAGAACAATTGAAGAGAACATTTGAAGGTCTTTCCACCCATAAAGATCAAGTTTGATATAGAACTATTAAAATTCAGTTTGATATATCATATCCAGCGTCAAATGATAGCTAATTGTACACCGATTCAAAAAGTATATGGTTTCTATACATTTTTTTCTAAATAAGGGAGATAAATTGTTACTTCCGGTTGTATTTGATAGATTACTTGATACTGATTCCAAAAATATATGGTTCAATATACTTTAACATTAAATAAGTACAAAAAATAGCTACTTCCGGTTTACACCAGGTCACTTCCGGTTGGCTTTTCCATGGTCAAGTGGCTTGCAACGTAATGCAAAAAGTCCCATGGCTTTATCATGTATACATATGAGGTAAAAGCAAAGGTCAAAATCTAGAACATCAATTTTATTGACCTTGAGCTCAATTTCAAGGTCATAAACCAAGGGCTTCAAATCAAAAGACTATAGGTCTTAATTATATATGGTTAATGAGTTATATCACAATATGTCTAATTTTTAATATATGGGGGAGAAAACTCCAATTTAATGTTAGCGTACTCTTTCAACCAAAATTTATGTGTTACGACATGTCGCAACTTAAAATTTAGTAAAAATATGTTGTCGATATCTTATACGGTTTTTGAAAAGAATTGAAAATAAGCCAAAATCAAAATTTAAAATATGCTTAGAATGGGTGAAAATAAAAAGCGCATAAACTGTATGATATTATATAAGAAATATCTAAGCGACATCTTGCGAAACAAAAATTTTACGTGAGAACAAAATTAGGCGGAAGAAAAAAATAATAATAATAATTAAAAACCAATTGTTTAGAGAACAATTGAAGGTCTTTCCACCCGAAACGATATATTTTGATGTGAAAAATGTTAAAACTCGGTAAGAAATGTAATTTTCAGCGCCAAATGATAGCTTATCATACGCTGAATTTAAAAATATATGGTTTCTATACATTTTTGTTTGAAATAAGGGAGATAATTTGTTACTTCCGGTTTGAAAAAGGTCACTTCCGGTATCATTTGATAGTTTACTTGACACTGATTCCAAAAATATATGGTTCTATTAACCCGAATAATTCAGTCCCACCCCGTGATCGACTCTCCCACTCGCGAGGGCCTGAATTCTTTATACAATAAAAACGCATCACGAATCGAGGATTTTGATTGGTGCCCTCAGGGTGACAGAGCCAATCAGCTATTAACTCAATGTAATTGAGATAGGTAAATCCAGAGCTAATTCCGAATGATTATTTGACGATTTTTTTATTGACAAGGCCTTCAGGCGTTAATGTAGCCATGGTAGAGCAGTGGAATATAACGACTGAATTTTTCGGGTTATGGTTCTATGTACTTTTACATTAAATATGGACAAGAAATAGCTACTTCCGGTTTACAAAAGGTCATTTCCGGTTGATTTTTTCAAGGTCATATGGCTTGCAACTTAATGCACAAAGTACCATAGCTTTATCAGGCATACATTAAAAGTTAAAGCAAAGGTCAAAATCTAGAACATCAAATTAAACTTTGACCTTGACCCCAATTTCAAGGTCATGAAACAAAGGCCTCAAATCAAAACACTCTAGGTCTCTACTATATATTGTTAATGCGTTATATTATCATACAGCTAATATTAGATATAAAAGGGGCGAAAACTCCCATTAAATGTTTACGTACCCTTTCAACTAAAATTTACGTGTTACGACATGTCGCAACTAACAATTCTGTAAAAATATTTTGTCGATATCTTATACAATCTCTGAAAATAAGTGATAACAAGCCTAAATCAAAATTTAGAATATGACCTTGACCTTATTTTCTTTTTTTTTGACTGAGGACCTCAATTCAAAAGACCTCAGGTCTCTATAAGTTATGGTTTTTCAGTTACAAATGCATATCACTTATATCAAATGCATAAGGGGAAATAACTCTCATATGGAGTCTCCGGATAGCTTCGGTCAAAATTAATCAAATCATCCTGAGGATATAACGAACAATTTGGAAAAATAAATTAGTCGGTTTCTTATGCAGTTGCGACGTATAAGTAATAACAAGAAAAACAGTGTTCGGGGAGGTAACTCTTACATCGAAAAGTTTTTGGTTATGAGGTGTCAGTTTCAAAAGCGTATTAACTGTTCGATATCATATACCAGATGTCTAAGCGACATCTTGCGAAACAAAAAAACAGCGAAGGAAAAAAAATTAGGCGGAAGAAAAAAAATAATAAATATAAATCAATTGTTTTAAAAACAATTGTTAACGGTCTTTCCCCTCCGAAACATGATTGATTGATTGATTGATTGATTGATTGATTGATTACACAGGTAGGATAGGGTCGCTTGAAACAAGCAAACACGAAACAAATGAGATCTTGGACCTGTATTAAACACAAGGGACCACAAGAAGCATGTAATGGTTGGTTGGTTGGTAGGTAATTGGTTTGGTTGATTGGTTAAACACATTGGGCCTATCAACTAGGACAACGCAAGTCTAGTGCCCATGTTTAAACACGGAACACATGAAAAAGGCATTGAGAGCCTAGTGCCTGTGTTTAAACACTCGAGACCTAGCCTCTAGGAACACGTGAAAAAGGCATTTAGAGCCTAGTGCTCGTGTTTAAACACTTGAGACCTAGCCTCTAGGAACACGTGAAAAAGGCATTGAGAGCCTAGTACCCGTGTTTAAACACTCGAGACCTAGCATCTAGGAACACGTGAAAAAGGCATTGAGAGCCTAGTGCTTGTGTTTAAACACTTGAGACCTAGCCTCTAGGAACACGTGAAAAACGGCATTGAGAGCCTAGTGCCCGTGTTTAAACACTCGAGACCTAGCCTCTAGGAACACTTGAAAAAGGCATTGAGAGCCTAGTGCTCGTGTTTAAACACTTGAGACGTAGCCTCTAGGAACACCTGATAAAGGCATTGAGAGCCTAGTGCTCGTGTTTAAACACTTGAGACGTAGCCTCTAGGAACACGTGAAAAAAGGCATTGAGAGCCTAGTGCCCGTGTTTAAACACTTGAGACCTAGCCTCTAGGAACACGTGATAAAGGCATTGAGAGCCTAGTGCCCATGTTTAAACACTTGAGACCTAGCCTCTAGGAACACCTGATAAAGACATTGAGAGCCTAGTGCCCGTTTTTAAACACTTGAGACCTAGCCTCTAGAAACACGTGAAAAAGGCATTGAGAGCCTAGTGCCCGTGTTCAAACACTTGAGACCTAGGCTCTAGGAGCACACAAAAACGGGTCCGTGCAACATTTTAGTTATATTCAAGTTATGATATTTGTAGGAACATGCAAGGATTTAAACAGGCCTTCAAAAATATCCTTGCATCTTCCTTTATAAATGTTCTTTTTTTTTTATAGTGCTTCCCGGAATTTGTGTCTTATTTTTTACTTATTGATCTAATTGTGTGTGCATTGTATTCAATTTTGTATTTAAAATGGCCCGACCTGACCTGCATGGATCTTTTGTATTTAACCTACCGGTATGTGAAACCCCTATTTTATTTTAGGTAGCAGGCGTTGCACCGGATGGTTGACATGATTGTGACGTCACCAAGCTGATTGATATACACAGAAAGATAGTTTATTTAATTTAGTTGCAGAGAGAGACGTCGTTCTGACCACACCTATGTATAAAGAATGTGCAACCGGATTTAATTTTCTTTCATTTACAGGTCATTGAAGTCTGATAATGCATGCTTTTTTCGTACACATATTTACGGGAACACAGATTTCATTTTAATGCATGTTTAGACATTTGATTCTAGGATTTTACTACTATTAATGAACTTTGGAGGGA